GGTGAGTCTCTGCCCCCTCTCTGAGCGGCACTTGCTTTCTTTGCACAACGGATAATAGACCTTCCATGTGTGCTGCATGGGGAGCCTGTGGGGCGTGGTGGGTGCTGCTCCTCGGCCCTGGCCTGGCCCTCATCCTGCCGCCTCTCCCATCACCTGCCCCGTTTCCTCCTGCCTAGCCCCTGGCCCCACAGCATCAGGGCCTCACTCAGAGCTGGTCACACCTGCGGCCGCCACCTGGCTCTGCCTATTCATGATTCCCTCCCACAGGGCCCAGCCTGCCCGGTACCCGAGCTGTCCTCACCCCCCTCCGCCGGCTACAGCCCCGCAGGACAGAAGCCCGAGGCTGTGGTGCATGCCATGAAGGTGAGGGCCAGGCCCTGCCCACCCTCACCCAGGTCCCACTCCCTCAGGAGCCCGACCCCTGGTGTGATGCGGGATGGGGGACCTCTTTGGGGGCGCCTGAGCAGCAGGGTGGGACCTGTGTGGGGACTGGGTGGCTGTGACTGCCTGGGACACTGTGGGGCAGGGACTCAAAGATGCCGGGTGCCGATAGCAAGTGTGTCACCTGTCTGCCATCCCTGCAACTGGGGAAACTGAGGCCTGGGGGTGAGGGAGGGCAGGCACTCCCGCAAGGTTGGAGTCATGGCAGGACGGGCTAGGTAGGAGTGAAGCCCAGGCCTCCCAGGCCCAGCCGCTGCTCAGGTGCAGGGCCTCCCTGCTCAGGGCCGCCAGCTGCAGGTCCTGAAGACGCGCTCCTGCCTCCAGAGGCACATCTCCCCCTCCTGTGCCCCTCATCCCTTCCCCATTCCCTCCCCCCCACCCCCCGCATGCATGTGCCATGGTTGCCATGTGTACATATGTGTGCACACCCCATGTGCATGAGTGGGGGTGTCCTCAGTTCTCATTAATCACAAGCTGGGCCCTGGTCAGAGCGAGTCCACCTGTCGGAGGGCGGCCCTGCCCTCGGGTGACCGACCCCTCCTCAGCTCGGCCCCCAGTGAAAGGGGTGCGGCTTCCCTTGTGTGGAGGGTGCAGTGTCACTGGGTGAGGGGAGAGGACACAGTGAGGAGGGACGGCCTGCCCCTCAGGTCTCCACACCCCTGACCCGGGCCCTGTTCCCCGCAGGTCCTGGAGGTGCACGAGAACCTGGACCGGCAGCTCCAGGACAGCTGCGAGGAGGACCTGAGTGAGAAGGAGAAGGCCATTGTCCGCGAGATGTGCAACGTGAGGCGCTTCCCGGGGGAGTCGGGGGGCGTCCTGGCCGGACACGGGGAGTTGCAACCTTCCCCGGGGAAAAGGATGGTGACCTGGAGGGCTGGCTGGAGGCACTGGAGCCTGGGAGCGCTGGCCTGGCCTCATCCCCACCCCACCCCGAGAATGAATGGGGTCCCTGATCTCATCCATCCCGGGAATGTGCCCCTGGCCCCCAGGACTGGCCTTGTTTACCCCTCATGTCCGCCCCTCAGCCTCGGTCCCAGGTGTCTGGCTCCTGGCCTCCCAGCTGGGTGGTGGCCCTGGTGACTGCGGGTGCTTAGCCCGAGGTGCAGGTGGCACCCCCACTCTGTGGGCCTGCAGGGCTGGGGCTGCCTTTGTTCTGGAAGCTGGCTGCCCCTGACCCACCTCATCAACATGGGTCCTCTCTGGACCCTTGAAGGAGCCAGAGGGAAGGGTGGTTCGCAGGGGCTGAACTGGGGTCTCCGATGGAGTGGGGTGTTCTGAACCCCCTCCTATGCTGCCTTCTGAGTCCATGGGTCCCACTGGACAGCTGCGAGGCCGAGCCCGCACCCTAGTGGTGACCTGCTAGGATGGCAGGTGTGGCCATGAGGATGGGCATGCAAAGAACTGGCCTGAGTGTTTCCGAGCTTTATGTGGCCTCAGTTTCCCCCGCTGGCCCACGGCTCTGGCATTGTGTACAGGCCAGCTGGCGGGCTTGGGGTGGCCCTGCCATCACATCTCGCCTCTCCCCACAGGTGGTCTGGAGAAAGCTGGGAGACGCCGCCAGCTCCAAGCCCTCCATCCGGCAGCACCTGTCTGGGAACCAGTTCAAGGGGCCTTTGTAGGCCTCTCCTCCATGGACCTGGACTGTCCCTGCCTGGGGTCCCCCCAGGGGAGTGGCAGGCCTTCCGGCCGAGCCACTGTCTTCTTCTGTGATGAATTGTACATAGGATGCTGCCTGCTGTGGCTCGGCAGCCATGGGTGTGGCCCCTGCTGTCCGGGCCTCCATCTCCCACATCTCACACCAGCAAACTGGGAGGCGAGATGCTGGCTGTCCCCGCAGCACAGCAGCCTGGACGGCCCGTTCCCACTCTGAGCCAGGCTTCAGGCTCGCTGTGCGAGAACGGAAGGCTGCTCTGAGCTGCCCAGCCCAGGGACCATGCCAGGCTGCGCCCAGCACCTCACCAAGCCCTCCATCCGCTGGCTGCCACCACACTGGACAAAGGCCACTGGCAGCTGGACCCGGTGGAGGGGTACCCCTTCCCATCCACCCGCTGTGACTTGAACGCTGGCTCCCCAAGCACTGAGTCCCGAGAGCCACGGACAGGGGAGCTCCCCAGGCCCTTCCTCTGGCCTGTGCCCAGCCCCCTCCTGCCGGCTGCCACCTGTTTTTAGAATCCACCCCTCCCCCTCCCCCCAGTGTCACCCTGCCCTGTGCCGGGTGTGCCCTATATTTTGGGGACCCTCCTGTCCTGCGCCTGAGGCATCTCCGCTTCCATGGTTCACTCTGGGCCAGGAACACAGGAAGGCGGCTGAGTGCAGAGTCCCCGGCTGAGCCCCACATGTCCCCCTCTCCGATGGGTAGCCCTGGGTCATGGCTGGGCCTCCGGTCCACTGTGGTGTCCCCCCCGGAACCTGGCCCCATCCTCAGTCACTGTGGACAGAGCCGCATGGCTGCAGTGACAGGGGTTCTGTCCCCGTTGGAAGGAGCCTGACCTGGCTCTGGCTTTAATTTGCTGTGTGACCTTCAGCAAGTCACTCAGCCCCTTTAGGCCCGTGGTGCGAAGTGAGGTCTCAGGTCCTCTTAGCCGGGCTCATGGTAGAGGCCATCACTGTAGTCAGCTGTGCTCCTAGCATGTGAGCTGATGGTCACCTGCTGGAGAGGCTGCTGGGGGCCGGGCTGGGGGCGAGGCCCGAGCTGAGTTCTGCTGCTTCGCTGCCTCCTCCAGGGGACAGTCCTCTCCTCTCTGAGCCTGTGTCCTCCGAGGGAGCATGAGGGTCTCCTTGCAGGGCTCTGGGGGCCCAATGAGACCATCAGTGTAAATGACCATGTATCAGCTGTAAAGTGCAGTATGCACGTTTTCACATTCATGTGAGGAAAATGAGGCACAGAGGGGGTAGGCGGTCGATGGCATGACAGGTGAGGCTCCAGAACTTGGCAGGCCGGCCAGGCCACACTGTCAATGCGGTTGCAAGGCCCTGTCCACTCATCCCATCAGCTCGTCTATCCTCGGACTCCCAGGTCCTGAGGGCTGCCCGCGGCCTTGCGCGGCCGCCCCCGAAGAGCCCGAGGCCATCTTTGCATCAGGCAGCCTCGTCCAGGCCCATGTGAGGGACGGGAACCAGGACCGGGCAGTTCCTGCCGTCACCTGCCATTGGCGCCCTTGGGTTGTACACTCAGGGCAAAGGCTCTCGGTCCTCCTTGTGCCTGGGGGTGTGAGTGGGTACTGCCCCGGGCATTACCGGGAGCTGTGGGCTTTTGAAGGTCCTTCCATCAGGTCAGACGGGAGCTCCCTGTCACATGGTGGTGGGTGACTCCTGCACCAGGGGGCCGCCAGCTGAGGTCAGAGGCCCCGCTCTGGTCATGGAGTCCAAAGAACCACAAGCAGCCGAGGGGGAAGGGGCCATCTGGGTGGGCTCCATGTCCGGGAGCCCATTTGCCATGTATGGATCAGGTCGGCTTTGCCACGACTGAAAATAAGCAATAAGGAAGGCCTCCTGGTACCTGCAGACGCGGCCCAGCGGCCCAGGGACAGCTTCACAGGGAAGTGACCCTGTCCCCGGACTGCGGAGATGCCCAGGGAGGAGGTGGAGCGGGCCGGGAGACCTTCCTGCCCGTCCCTGAGCCAACCCTGTGTGGGCCGGCTTTCAGGGAGGGAGCTGCACCTGTGACGGCCATCTCCCAACATAATGTGCCGTTAGGAAAGCCAGCAGCAGAGCCGCGCTGCCTGACCCCACTGGGTCGTTCGCAGTTGCAGGGGAGCTCACAAGCTTGGGGCTCCAATGGGCCTCACTACCAGGGCAGCCAGGGGGCTGCCGGCTCTGCCACTAACGGGTGTGTAGGTGATACTGGGTGACTCCACCCCTGGAGCCTCAGCTTTGAGCTCAGGGTGGGAGGCGTGTGCTGACCTGGGTGTCCTTTCATAAAGGCCCCTTTACTTTCCAAACCCTCCGCTTCTAGATCCCGCAGCCACGGGGACGCCTGCGCTGTGGCCTGTTCCCACTGTGACGGAGCCCACCCTCAGCCTCCCCCTGGGGGCCAGGCCCATCCTGGGATCGCCATCTGCTGGCCACTCTTCAGGGTGGTGCGTTTTTATCCAGAAGTGATTAGCTACACATCAGTGTTTAAAGAGAAAAAGTGACCTTTTTTTTCTTGAAAACTTGAGAGGAAACAAAATACTACTGATTTTTTTTTTTTTTTTAAACAGTGCATGACTGCGGAGCGGTAGAGGTGTATATTTTCATAATGTGGGAGAGACTGGGCTGCTCTCTGGACCTGGCGGAACGTCTGGTTCCGGTCCCCGGCCGCAGCCATGCTCTGTCTTCTGTAGGACGTGACCTCCTGAGAACGGCCAGCCCAGGCCTGCCCGGCTCGGTCCATTTCTACCTTCTATTGAACCACTTTGATTTGGGGAGAGAAAAAGAAATAGAACTTTTTGATAGTGTGGTAAAAACATTGAACTATTTTAGTAAAAGGTAACAGAGAAGACTGTGACAGTGTATACTTTGCGCTAGATAATAAAGGCTCTTTGCAAGCCTCCGTGGTGGTGTGCAGTGCGTTTGTCTCAGGCGATGGCTCGTTGGGCAGGGGGCCATGGCCCCTGGGAGCATTTCAGGTGCGGCTGCAGCCAGCACACAGCGGCCCCATTTGGGCCACTAGCTGCTACTCGAGGGGCCTCTGCCTCCTCAAGCCAGAAATGGAAAGGATTTCAAATTCAAACCCTCACCTAACCTAGGAACCTCAGAGGCTGGCCCGTGAGGGTGCTGCCCAGGAGATGTGGGTGAGGCTTAGTGGGCAGCGAGGCCCTCTGGGGTCCAGAGGGCGATCACACCCAGGGGCTACTGCAGGCCCCAAGCTCTGTCAGTAACAAAGTTTCAGAACTGCTTTTATTTGGATAACTGACTGAAGGAGTCTCGTGTGTAACCAAGATGGAAGTCACAGTATGTTGTTAGATTCACACTTAAAAAATATCTATGTACAGGAACTTGCAGATCGATGTGAACATACATTACTTCCCAAGTACATTCCTCCCCTTCTTCCCAGAGGAAAAAGAAAAAAGCCATCCAACCAGGCAACCCCTTCAAAATAACTTTAATACAAAGATGTAAATATCTCTAAATCAAAAAGCTGCTTCTGAGCGACTGGGTGTCATGGAAGAGAACACGAAATGGAAGTGATGACGACAGCTTGACTTCAGATGGAACTGGACTGTTTAAAACTGCGTATCCAGGAAAAATAGGCACTGATTTCTAGAAGGAAATTCACTCCTTACGGAAGCTATTTATTGAGCCAATATGGCTGGTTAACATTTTCACTAGTATAGTCACCCAGTGCAGGACGCAGCCCTCAGCCGACACCAGCACAGCCGGGCGGCCCGGGCACTGCCGGGGCTGTCCCCTCTCCGGGCCGGGAGGACCATCTGATCCATCTCCCGGCCTGGTCCATGTCTTCCCATACTGCAACTGTCCAGCATGATACAAGGTACCCTGCTGCTTTCTCACTTCAACTACCCTTCAAGGTAACTAGAAAAACTTGTTAAAAAAACAAAGGGGGAAAAAAAGGCATCAGGTTATCTCATCCAGGCTGCACGCCCCAGGCCCCCGACTGGAGGCATGCCCGGTGGGGGGATGGGTGGGGGCACAGGTGGCTGTCCTCCAGGGGGGACAGATGGAGGTGGGTAGCTAGCTG